TCAAAAATTAGATGCAGAATATTCGAAGTTAATTGATCAGATCATATCTGGTAAGAACTCTGAATTACGAGTTTATGATTCTAATATCATTTTCTATAAGGACAGGCTTTGGGTCCTTATTCTTGGAAATTTGAGGAAAGAGATTCTACATGAGGCTCATTATTCAGGTTATATTATTCACCTAGAAAGTAACAAGATATATGGAGATTTGAAGAGTATGTTTTGATGGCATGGATTGAAGAAAGACATAGCGGAATTTATTTCAAAATGTGAGGCCTGTCAGCAAGTGAAGGCAAAGCATCAGCGACCGGGAGATCTTCTGTAGTCGTTGCCTATTCCTAAGTGAAAAAGGGAAGAAGTGACAATGAATTTTACTATGGGTTTCCTCAGATCGAGACAAGAGCATGATGCTATTTGGGTTGTTGTTGATAGACTGATAAAATATTCCCATTTCCTTCCGATTAGACACATATATTTGGTGGATAAGTTAGCACAGATCTATGTTAAAGATATTATCAGGTTGCATGGTGTAAGTGATTATATTTGATCATGATGGAAGGTTTACCACCAAATTATGGAAAAGTATTCAGCAGGGACTCGGTACAAAGTTGCATTTCAGTATGGCTTTTCATCAACAGACAGATGGACAGTCTGAAAGGACTATTCAGTTACTGGAGGATCTTCTAAGATAATGCATTCTGGAATTTGGGGGTAGTTGGGAGGATCATATTTCATTGATAGAATTTACATATAATAGTAGTTATCAATCCAGCATAGGCATGGCTCCTTACGAAGCTCTATATGGCAGAAAGTGTAGGACTCCTTTGGCCTTGATAGAGGTAGGAGATAAACAAGTAATAGGTTTAGCCTTTGTGGACGATACTATTATAAAGATCAATTTGATTAGAGAAAAGTTCAAATATGTGCAAGATAGACAAAAAAATATTACAATCAGAAGCACAGATTGGTTGAGATTCAGATTAGTGACTTTATTTATATTGAAGTCAGTCCTATGAAAGGTGTTTGCATATTTGGAAGAATTAGTAAGCTCAGTTCAAGGTATATGGACCTTTTGAGTTCATTGAGAAGATTGGTAATTTTGCTTATAGGTTATTATTACCTGATTATATGTTTGATATACACAATGTATTTCACGTATTATCTTTGAGAAAGTGGATATCTAATTCTGGGAAGAGATTATCTGTTGATAATGTAGAGATTCATCTAAGCCGATAATACAAAAAAGAACCTGAAAGGGTTTTAGCATATGATGTGAGAAAGTTGAGAAGTAAATAAATTCCTATGGTTAAGGTACATTAGAGGCATAGGACAGCCAGAGAGGCTACCTGGGAGAAGAAATCTAATATGAGGTAGTTATATCCTAGTTTGTTCTTACTCATTCTGCTTTAAGAATGTCGAGGATGATATTTTTTTAAGGTGGGTAGATTGTTAGACCCTTTAAAACTTTCAAAAAGTTTGAAGTAATCGTCATGTACAAACTGAATCCGTCTAGGATGAACAGTTAGAATTTTGGCCTTTATGAATCATATGAATGAATTATATGATAATAGATCAGAGTCATTCATACCTGTATGAAATTAATTATCAACCGTACGACCTTTGTATGAGAACAAATTAAAGTCGTTTGTCCCTGTACAAAATTAATCATCGTCTGTATTATCTTCGTACGTGAATAGATCTAGAGTGTTCGTCCTGGTATGGACATAAAAATCATCCCGTACGATCATAAAATATCTAAATCCATTAATTAAGTCATTTCATGGTTTTAAGGGAAATAAGAGAGATAAAGAGTAGGAGAGAGAAAGAGTAAGATAGAAAAGGAAATCCAAATTTTGGGCAACTTCAGGCTATTTTTGTCTATCGACGTAGTTGGAAAAGTTATCAGACTCGAAGTAAGGCACATTATGCATATCTCAGTTTTCAAAATGTGTAAGTTTTGGTGAATATTCCTATTAAAATGTTGTATCTGTTAGCGAAAAAATGGGGATAACTTTGCACCGGTAAAACTTTTACCGCAGTACTTTTTATATGTCATAGAAATTATGATTTTGCACCTTCAGAATATTTTTTGGAAACTTTTAACCGTGTATTCTAAAATCTAAGGGGTTTTTAGTGAATAAAAATTTATCAGGATGTTGACAAATAGTGTTGTAGTACAATAAAAGTCTTAATACATGGTTTTACACATTCCATGGTATATTGGTATTTTTTTGAAACAATGTATTTTGTGCTCCGTTGGACTTTTTTTTTTTGTTTACCGTTATACAATATGATGATATTTTGATACGTGCTCAATTACTCTGTAATTATTATAATGTGATGATATATGTGCATATGTGATTAAATGATATTTGTTGAGAGTTATAAGGGGACATAATCCTTTGAGATTCTGTTTGTGTTAGGAAATTTCTAGGAGTCATAAGGGGCCAGAATCTTTTGAGATTTTGTCTAGGTCGAGGAAATATGATCTAAATAACTCTTTGTATTTGATATGTTCTGGTGTTGTAAGCACGAATAAGAAGGGAGTTATAAGGGGCCAGAATCCTTTGAGATTCTATTTGGGTTCGGGAAGTGTGATCTGGACAATTTTGTGATATGAATTTCCATTTATTTAAATATTATGTACGGCTATCTAATTCATATGTTCTGTACGATTATCTGAATAAGTTTTTTTTTGTGATTTTCAGTTCAGTGAATTATTTGAATTACGTTTAATTGCTTTTAAATTTCTGTAAAATAATTGAAATGAAAGAGCAATTGGAAATTTAGATTGGCTAGTGTGACCTGCTGAGCTGTTATAGCTCACTGTGGTTTTGCTTCTAGTTTTCAGGATCTCGTAAGGAGAAGGAGGGTGTGGACTAGCTGTTCAGGATCTAATCTGCGGCCATAGGTATTTTTGTTATTTTAATTTTTATATAGTCATGTTTAGTTAAATTTTCAGTTCTATAACTCTTGCTGTAGCCATGCACTATAGTGTAGTTATTTATTTTGATGAATGAAAAGAAACTATATGTATGAGTTTTTTAGTATTTGGATAATTTATTGCTCTGTAGTTCGTTATTTATCTCAACGAATATTGACAGAAAATCTAAAACAATTATGAAACTAAATCTTGGGGTTTGCCTGTTACAGCTCAATACAATAAGACTTGTCCTAGTCGGGTTGGGGTGTGACAATTTGTCTAATGCAACACAAACTCAAACTCTAGCATACTCTCTTTTCCCCATTGGAACATATTATCGTCTATCAAAAGGGGTGTTCCTACCATTGATGAAATTCTTGTCGCATTAATCTCATCCCAACATAGTAAGGGTATATGTGGCATCCTAATCCAAATTGGAGACGACAAGCCTTTCAATGAAGTAGGTGAAAATTTTGGAGTCCACTTTTCAATAACTACTATATGACCATTCACATACCAGTGACCTCCTCATAAAATATTCTCCATAGATTCAAGAGAGAAAAAAGAGCATAAACCAAACCTAAACCAAGAATAGTAAGGTGGAATTTTCCAAATTGCATCCATTGACGACGTAACTCCTCCGCAATCACATGGACTGGAATATCATTCCCAAAAACTTTATCTACTACAAAAAAATTGAAGTTTTTCAAAATTAGCATTCACACTTGGCTCGTACAGCTTAACATCAACACCATCCTCTGATAGAAATTATTCATCTCTTGAAAAATTAATTTTAATATTTGAGCGTCTAGACCAAGGATTCACAGGAGGTTTACCACCCAATCCACCATGCTCATTCAAAACTTGTAATGGAACATTTTTGTCAGAATTCATTTCTTGAGCATTAACACAAACAGTGATGGCACATCAGAACCCCCATCTTAACAGAAGAATATTCCTTAAATGTAATATCAAGTTTAGCATTAACATTACCAAACATATTTACAAAAAGCTTCAAACCCGAGGAAGAAGATGCTTCAAAATCATTAGTTCTATTCATCAAAGAGATATTATCATTTGGGCAAGGCATTTTCACCACCACTGCATCTTCAACTCGTTTACCTTTACCAAAAACAGACGAAGTATTCTTAACAGGAACAACTGAGAGTTCCTTAATCACCATCGGAGCATCCTTAAAATTTCTTTTCTAATTTTCGGGAACAACACTTTGAGATGAAACCTTAGACTCAAGCTGAGTTTGAGAACTAGGTGGAGTAATAATGGTAGAATTTCAGCAACCAGAGGTGGCTGTCGAAGGCTCTACCGCTATAAGTGAAAATTTTGCCAAATAAATGAAAACAAAATTTTGAAATAAGAACATGATTTTCTCTCACTAGAAATAAGAAAAAAGTGGAAATTCCGCTAAATAAAATTGTGTGATTTTATTTTTAAAATAAATAGGCTCCTAGTTTCATAGAATCTAAGATCTTAAAATTTGTTTGCAATTTAACTACACAAATTGAGTTGATCGGACGATCCGTCTAATGAATTATGGGCCATTTGATGCAAAGGCAGTGGCAAAAGATGAATGGTGAGGGTGACTAGTGGGTGCAACCGATATCACTTAACATAAGTTATGTATTTGAGATTTGTCCAAAGTAAATGAATTTTAAATCTATTAAAATAAAGTATAGTAAATATAATCTAAATATAATGAAATTTAATATTAGATTTATTTTTTAAACCAAACAATAAGATTTTTAAAATATGTGCATTAAAAATATAATAAATCCGAAATACATGCCATAAAATAGAAATTTTGCAGTTAGGTAGCCCATAAATGAGAATTTAATAATAAGGTCCAGATCAAAGTTTTTTCTAATAAATAGTTTTGGTCGGTGGGAACGTGGTTTGGGTCAACTGGAACCTTATTCAGATATAGACCTGAATACTTTCATAGCCGCCATGCTCTCGGTTGGGTCATGTGTGTGTGAGAGAGTGAGAAAAGAAAGAGAGAGAGAGAGGGTTGGGGTCCACACGAAACGAGATGCTTCATTTTATTTTCCTTTTGATTCCTTTGCTCTTTATATGGAGATCTAAGGCGCCATGTGGTTGGACATGAGAAGAGGCAAGTTGACAGTGAGACTTCTTATGGTCTTCACTCTCCTAAATTCTTAGGTAAGGGAGTGAAGAGAAGATATTTGTGTGTGTACGAAAGAGAGAAAGAGATGAAAGGTGGAGAAGGGAAGATGGACAGGAAAACTGTGGAGAAGCTCAGACGAATGCAAATGAAAGCTCTTTGCTTAAAGCTTGCAAACCTCATCCCACAAGATTATCTTTCTAAGGTATTTATACAATTATTCATTCATTCTGTTCATCAACTCGTCCTCTCCATCTTTCCCCTCACCCATACACACTCTCTAGATCTCTACCCCCCTAATAATCTTTTGAGATGTTCAGATATTAGTTCTATTTGTAGGGAAGGGGAGATTTAGGTTTATATATATGCCTCTGATCATCATGGAAAAGGGGGTTTTAAGGTCCATTTTTTATCTCTACAGCTAGCATAATCGGATTTTTAACAAGGAGGAATTTTTATCAAAATAGTAAGGATCAGAAGAATGTTGCTGTAAACCCTAAATTAACTGGCTTTAAGGAGATGCAATTCGTACCTAATCTTTGTATTGTTTCTGGAAGGAGAACAAAGGAAAGCTAATTTCAGGGAGAACCACTAACCTCTCCACTACTTGAGAAATAATGATTGTTTATACCAAATTTTTCTAAAGAGTATTTAGTTTGGAAAAAAAATCGGTCCTGAGATCTGATCTAATTTTTTTTCTGGTCAACTGTGGAACTTCACAATTATGCACGACTTGAAAATACGCCCCAAAATGTATATTATATGATCCGAACTACTTTAAAAAACAGTATGTATAAAAATATTATATTCTTTTGATTTTTATATTTTTTTTCATAATAATAATAATTTAAATTTCATATTTTTTAATTTATTGTTTAATATTCAGTAAAATTTTAAATATATATATATATATATATATATCAGCAAATAATATTTTTTGAAACTTTCAAGCAAATTTTGTCGCAATTTCACAAACAACCAAGTTAGAGTTCAAGTTCCCAGTAGTTGAAGTCAGGCATCAGGACCAAAATTTGGAGGTTCTTCTCATTAGTAGTTTGAAGAAGAGGATTGCCTTACATGAGGTCATTCGCATTGTAGAGGACGGAGGAGCAGATGTGGTCAATGCTAGCTTCTCAATTGTTGGAAACAAGATCATCCACACAATTCATTGCCAGGTAAAATAAATATATCATCGACATATAAACTTGAAATTGTATCTCTGACTGTGACTTAGTAAGAATGGTTTGATCCTTTGCAGGCTATTTCGTCTAGAATTGGATTGGATGCTTCAAAGGTGTCTAAAAGGCTTCTGCAATTGATTAGATGATCAGTTTATATTTTGTTGGAAAAATTAATAATCAGTATACCTTTATAAAAAATTTTATTCAGAATAGAACGACTTTAAAAAATTTAAATATGTTTTAAGATGAGGATATGCAAATAGTTAATATTATATTTATCTTAGAATAAATTTAAAATATTTTTCTCCCTCTTGTAAAAGATAGTGTACCACCGATCTTTTTTTCCCTCCTTCCTAGAGAAAGAAGAGAATCTCCAATCTTTTTCTCCCCCCTAAAGAATTCAGAGTACTTCAAAGACTTGACTTAGAAGTCTCTCTTTCAAGAGAGCCTTCAAAGACTCGCCAAGGTCACAGGAGGAGTAAGGGTGTAACTAGCCCATAGCAATCGTATGATCCTCTCACATTTCTTCACCCTCACCCTTAACCTCATCGTCTCCTTCCTCTCAAACCCTAATTTTCTCTCAAAAGAACCTCTCTCAAAGTTCCTTCAGCAGTCACACAATCATGTCTTTTTTTTAAAGAGATTCTAAAAATCATGCTCAAGTATTTGGCTCTAAGAAACCCTAAAAATTTAAGTTTGTCGTCATTGTTCGTACAGTAAAATTGGATTTCATACACTACGATAAGTTCAAAAACTAGACATGTCCAGTAAAATGTAAATAGTCATTCAAATGTATTGTTCAACTTTTCGAACACATCGTACAGTATGATCCAAATATCATGCAATATGATATGTTTGCTTTCTCTCTATTCATACATGACAATTCTTGGGATAATTGAAAATCATATATGGTTATCGTCTCGTACTTCTCTCATCATACAATACGGTTAGTTAATTTCAAGTCCGTCGTCTAGTATGATATGAATATCGTATAATATGATTAGTTTAAAATTTTTTATTTGTTTGGTACGATCTTTGAGATGACCAAATTTTGTCTCTGTCAATCGTACTGTACGATATATATCGTACATTATGATTTTCTATCATTATTTAAATCATGATTTGATTGACTAATTATGGGAGCTAATTTAATTAAAATTTTAAATTTTCAAACATAACAAATTACATCGTATAGTACAATTAGTTTAAAATTCAAATTTTGAATATGTTACTTAATTTATTTGGTGGGTAGGGTTTTCATACCGTATTGAATCATACAGAATGATATAGATCATATAATATGATCAATTCAAACAAACTAATTATTTTTTTAGTCGTTAAGTCTACTCTATATATAACTCATCATATAGTATGATCAGTATAAAATATAAATTTTAACTTTAAAATTTTCTCACTCCACGTGTGTGTGTACGATCATCGACAAAAGGAATATCTGATATTCTTAGTATTTTTTTTTGCATTGTTAGTGCTCACCAACAAAAGGAATATTCAAAATATTCACTGAGAAAAATAACAATTCAATCAAAAAATTTTGTCATCATCAAAATCATAGACTAGGGATCATTGATTACAACATAAGAAAGATCCTTCATTTTTCATCTCTTCCTTCTCTCCCTTTTATGAAGAATGAGGACTTCATTTATAATTTTTTTGGGAGTGACATGATTAGTAGATAGGGAGAAGAACATTGGCAAGTTGGGAGTATTTCAATAGACGGATGATATCAACACTTTTGATTATAAATTGATTATCGATCATTTATCTTATTGATGTGAGAATTTGATGATCTTGGGCTCGTTGGATTCTTCTCATCTAGTTGTTCATTTCAATTATAAGCATACCACATTTAGATTTCATTTGGTCATCAAATTAATGTTATAAAGCTTCAAAATAGGCTTCGGGCCCTCAATTGTGACCCATTTGGGTTCAAATTGGACCAATTTTGGTGTTGTAGGATTCACCTCCTTGAGATGTTCAATCTGACAATAAACTTGCTGAAATCAAAGTCCACATGATCCTAAATTTAATTTTGAAAGTTTTTTATTTATATTTGTGATATATCATTAAAAATTTATCTTGATAAGGCATGAATCTAAAGGCAAAATCTAGTTAGAAACTTCAAAAATTAAATCTGTGACCATCTGAACTCTGATTTCAGCAAACTTATTGTCAAAGTGAATGTCTCAAAATGACAAACACAAAGACACCAAATTTGACTAAATCTGAGCCCAAATGTCTCCAAATCAAAGACCCGAAGCACATTTGGAAGGTTCAAACCATAATTTGGACTACCAAATAGTTTTTAAACATGACATGCTTCTAGCCAAATCGAGTGGAACGATGAGACTAATCTAATGGCCCTAAGATCTCCAAAATTTGATATCATTAAGATATTCAAATGCCCAATAAATGGTCTATGATCAAGGGATTCAACATCGACCGTCCATTCAAACCACTCCAAATTTACCATCGATCTTCCTCCTATTTATGGGACATGTCACTCTCAGAATTATATAAATAGACCCCTCACTTCTCATAAATGGGAACCCCTGAAGCAAGGAAGTAAGAATAGAAATCAAAGATTACTCTTGGCACCTAGCTCCTCCTTGACTACCACCCGAACTTCCATTGAACTACCACTTAACACCAAACTTTTGCCGGAATACCACTTGACGTCGGACCACCGCCCAACGTCAAACTTTTATTGGACCACCAATTGCTGCCCATACATTCACCAAATCATCACCCGACGCAAGACTTCTGCCCAACACTAGACTTTTGCCAGCCGTCGGACTTCCACCCAGCCATAGAAGGATGTTATACTTCTGCTCGGCCACCGACTGTTATCGAACTTTTTCCCGGCGACCAACTATTATAGGACTTTTCTCGGACCTCTATTCGGCTCACTATTGATTCTTGTTGAATCTAGTATAGGTTATTAAACCTAAACTAATGTTCCAATGCTAACTAAGAGGGGGGTTGAATTGTTAATTTAAACATTACTTCTTTTGGATTTAAAAAAATTGAAACCAGTTAATGATTCATAGCAATTTAGTTGAAGTTTTTTAAAACTAATTTTTCAACCACAAAATTAAAATTACAGTAAGTAAGCAATTGAAATTAAATTGATATAAGGATTTAGAGTGGTTTGGTCAAACACGACCTACATCCACTCCCTAAAGCCTTCCATTTCAGGTATTGCACTATTACCAAATTGACTCTCCTTTTACCCCCACAGTAAGGCGGAGAAAACTTTACAAAAAATCTCATCCACCAATCCTCAGTGCGGCAAAGAATCTTCATCCTTTCACACCTTTCAAGTGTAGGCAGAGAACCAGTGTCCTTTTTTACCCTCATAGTGAAGACATAGAACCCATGTCCTTTCACACCCTCCAACTGTAGGCAGAGAACCTTCGGCTGTTCACACTTTCTAAGTGTAGGCAGAGAACCTTTGGCCTTTCTTCAAGAATCTTATCACAAGCAAACCAGAAAGACAAGAGGAAGAGTGAAAAATGTAAATCACACACAGAGATCATTACATTTTAGTAAACTTATGAACTTCACACTCTACTAGCAAAACATCTCTCTCAAACACTCTCTCATACTCCCTCCTTCAAGTGCTCTTGAAAAATCACGAAGACCAGACTCAATAAAATGAAAAATATAGACTTCAATTACAATAAACTTTAAATTGGTCTTGATTTGAAGTCTTCAACAATCCAGAGTATGATTTTCTTGAAATATTATTACACACAAGAGAAAAATAAATCTTTCAAAATATGTTAGGACAAATAATAATCAAAGTAATAATATTTGTAATCATAAAAAATATATAAGTTGCAAGAATATAAAACATGCAAGACTAAGTAGCAATTATCTCAATAATCTCGCCCTTTTTTATGATGGCAAAATAATTATTGTTTGAATGACATTAAAAATCCTAAAATTTCTCCTTAACTCCCCCTAAATGAATAAGCATTTGAATATAAGAGAATTTCTATTAAGTATAAATCTAATTTTTTCAAATAGAAAAATAAAAAATTAAAAAGAACTCTAACACTAATAAACACTAAAAATCAAATGCATATAAACCACCCAAACAAACAATATTCTTCTCCCTTTTGATAACAACAAAAAGGGAAAAAGAAAAAATAAATAAAATATAAGATGTCATATGAGAATCCATTGATAATTGATCTTGAAAGAGATTGAATTATAATTACAATAACAAGATTAATATTCATTAGAGAAAAATAAAGATTTAAAAATATTTAAATTAAAATATAACATAGACAAGATAAATATATCAAGGTCATGCAACAATTTAGACAATTAGATAAAGAGAATTATTGCAAAAGTGATGAAATGAAGATTAATTAAAGTCAATTTTCAATACAAAATATAATTGAACATTAGATAGATTTAAAATTGAAGATTAAAAGATAGAGGAAAGAACAATACACTTGTTTAGACGATATTGTGTATCTTTTCAAATATTTGTGGCACACTTTATATATATATTTTTATATTTGGGTTAATTTTGTGCCTATTTTTAATTTGCGAACTATTAAACATTCTTTTGATTTTTGTACATTTGTACATTTCTCCAATTTTTAATTGATCTTTTAAAAATCAATAATTTAAAAGCTCAAACTTCTCTAAGTACAAAGATAATTATATTTAAAAAATAAAAAAATAAAAAGACATCAAAATAATAATAATAATATTAAAATTATGTATGTCTAAAAAGAACATGAAATTGATAGTCTTAACTTGATCGAGTTATAAATTAACTTATATTTTCAAAGAATTAAATTTCCTAATGAAATTAATTTTTATACTGCTTTTCAAATTATAACATTTTTTAAATCAATTAAGTCAGGATTATCATATAGGCAAACTAACATTTCACATAATTAATAAAAGCAACTAATCAAACAAAACATATTTTATTAATATCAATTTAACATAGAGATGCATTGATGCACATTTTATATCAATACAAACATAATATATCATGAAAAACAAAAACAAGAGCAAAGGGCAATCACAGAAAAAATTATTGAAAACATTACATCACATTTCAAAAGTCTGACAAAGATAGCACATAAGAAGTACATCTATAAATTCGAGGGGCCCTGGTTTGGACGAGGTGGCTGGTTGAAGATAGTAAAATATATATTCAT